CACCCAGCTCTCAATTGTATCATGATTATTAAAAAGTTTCTCAACATGTGAATTACCTGTCAAACCTCTCTTCCCTCTTGGCCTGTCTACCATGCCTCTTCTCACTCCAGGCCCTTCTCTCAGGAACTGTCTCCTGGTTCCCGTCGCTCATCCCAGGTGTCATGGTTACCTGGCTTCTTGGCACAGTTGCTAGGGGTTCACTCGCTGGAGTCAGGTATAAAAAAGGCACCTCAGAGAGGCTGTCACTGCGGGCTGATACAGCACTGGAAAAGTAAATGCAGAGCTGTTCAGTTTGCACTTAAGGGATGAGACTGAGTTATAACAAAAATGAACTTCTAGAAAATATCTCATTTCCCAATCTATCGGGTGCGTGAGATATTATGCACATAATCCCAGCATAAAAGGAAATCTCAGTTCTCCAGTTAGGTGAAAAAAGGGAAATATTGATTGGCTGTCTCTGTTTCCATTGAGAAGCAGGTCAAGTAGAGAGCATTTCAGGAATCTCACAAATCCTTTCACAGTTTTTGCAACACACTATTTGCATGTAAGATTTTTTTTTTTGGCAGGCAGGGAGCAAGATTAAATGACTCGCAGAGTACTAGGCACTGAATAAGTTCTGTTACTCTTGTGGCTGTGATAATACCTATTTTTGTTTCTTTTCAGTGTGCTGTGTTTGAGTTGACTTTTCACTGTGTGACTTCCATCTCATAGTTTCAACTCATTTGTGCTTTTGTATGTTGAGTATGAAACAGCATTAAGTCAAGCACTTTGGGCAGGGGTTTGTGGCAGCCATGGTATCTTTTAGAGCCTTGGGTACTTCAGAGTAAAATAGAGTTTCCTCAATCATCTGATAGTCAAATAAATAGGAAGATAAAACATAAAACTTGTCCTAAAAAAGGGAAATAGATCAAAGCAATAGCTTTATTAAATGGATTAACTTTCACCCCAAAATCTTAAATTCTAAGATGGTACTAAGAGCAAGAGCAAATTGGTCTAAAAGAGAGTGAGCTGGGTATGTAAAATGGGATGTTTTATATAGAGAGTTGGAAGTGGAAAGATTTGGTGGAGTACCGAGGATTGAGCCCAGAAGTAAGCCAGCGCCCAACTCGGTGAGCTGGACATTTATGCGAATCATTGAGTCCAAGGGGTGAAAAGGAGAGAGAACGAAGAAGACCGGGTGGCCAGCACGCACGCACGGAGTGGGGCGCCTGGCGGGGAGCTTTGGCTGCTGCTCCGTGCGCCTTGGCAAGCTGTGCCCCTCCGAGCCACCAGGTCGGACAGCGTTCCAGGGCGGCGGCAGCATGCGGGGATGCTGATGCCTGGTGCTGGGGCTGCAGTGCTCCGCTCGGCCTCTCCACTGCAGCAGCAGCCAACACCCGGCTGAGGTTTTGGACCTGCGACCCAGACCTTGTGCGCCCTTTGGCTTCTGTCCTGGGGTTCCTCCAACTCCAAAACCCAATAGAAAGCCAACAAGGGAACAGCCAGAAACGCTAAGCAGAGCGGAGCAGACTCAATGTAGCTGTGGAGCTGGAAAGTCAGGGGAAGAAGGGGCTGAGCTGTGGAGCCTCTGCCCGCCCCTCTCCTTCGCACGACCCCCGGCAGCCCGCCGTGCTTCCGTCTGCCCACCGCGATCCTGCTCCCTGCACTCAGATCTGGGACACGTGGGCTCCATCGCAGCTCACACACAGCCCTTCTGCAGCTGAAAAACTCAGCCACATGTAAATCGACAGGGTAAAGGAGGAAGGAGAATCGGCTGTCACACAGCTATCTCTGTTTAATGCGCAAGAAATGAGACACGGTAGCATCTACGCTCTTGCTCAGCTAGCGGGTGCTAAGAGTGTTGTTGATGCTGGTTAGTTCTTTTCCTCTCAGCCAAGAACTCATCATTTGGAACACCTTCCCTGGCCAGGACCGCTGACATTCACAAGCAAAGACATGTGTCCTTCCTTTCCTGGCTACAGTAGACTGTTAATGCTTATACTGTCAGAGCTGGCCCTATGGAGAGACGTCCTTTAGAGTAAATGCCAGCATACAGGGGAAGCCTGTCTCTCCTCCCATTCAGGACCTTTTTTATGTATTTAGTACAGGGTCTACAGGATCTCACTACACAGATCAGAGTCTTAGTGATTCTCCTGTTTTTCAGCCTCCCAAGCACTGGGATTACAAATGTGCACCACTATGTCCAGTCTTAATCCCCATCTCAGTGCACCCCAAGGGCTGGGCCAACACAGTAGGCAGGGATCAAACCCCTGGCCCCTGTGTCTGCCTTAGCAGGTGCCTTAATCCACTGAGCTATCATCTATTGCAGTAGTTAAATGAGCTTCCTAAATGGCCCCGTCATAGCCGCAGATTCCAATCCAACCCTTCTTCCTGCATTGCTCTCTGTGTGTATGAGAAGCAGACATATTCTGTGTAGGGGATTAAGTGAAACAGTGAGAGGAAACACACTGCGTTCTTGCCCTTGCTTTCCATTCCATGTTTCCTTCCTATAGGAAACCCAGCGTCTAATATTGGTTTCCAAGCCAGGTATGGTAGCACGTAACTGTAATCCCAGAATTCTAGGAGGCTGAGGCAGGAGGAGCATAAGATTGAGCTCAGTCTGGGCAATTTAGTGACTTAGCAACACCCTGGCTCAAAATTTAAAAATAAAATGAAAAGTGCTGGGGATGTAGCTTAGTGCAGAAGCTCTGAGTTCAGTCTCCATCCGGTACTGCTAAGAAAGGTCCCTAGTTCAAAGTCAACGCTGCATCCTGTGGTAACCCGACATCACAGTGCTGTCAAAGAACTGGCCCAGTGCTGAAATCTGTAAGCTGCTCCTGCAGCCACCTGCTAGACTGTGGCTTGCTTAGGGCAACTACAAGAGGAGACATAGTTTCCTCAGATGCTGGCTCACTGGCCTGTTCCTGCGCTCCAAATGGACTTCTCAATCCAAAGCAATGTGGGGAGGGATCTCCAGACAGTACGCACACCATGCGGTCAGTTCCCAGACAAAGTCTCTCTGAGCAGGTCTACAGGGGGGCATGTCGCTGGGAGGAGAGAAGAATACGTGGAAACAGTGCTCCTGGGACCATGGCTCCCTAATAACTTCATTCCTGCACATTGGATCTATTCTGAAGACATTTACAAGGCCAAATCTTTGTGTCCACAGCATTGAAAATCAGGCCTCCCAAGCCAGCTATCAGGGAACTCCCTCAATGACTGTGAGTTGGCTCTAGACTTATTTAGCCCCCTTATGAGCTAGACTTCAGCGCTGTCTTTTTAAGCTATCTTCCCATGTAACCTCTTTCTCCAAAAGCTGTAAGTGATCGCTCCATATTGGATGCTGACATCTTGCTGTGCTGTGTGTTCACTACTTGGCTCCTTCAGTGTTTGCTAGGTGCCTGCTGCTTCTTGGACATGATGCTAAGCTTTAGAAATACACAGGTGAGGGGATTTGGTTGACCTGGTCATATATGAAAGTTACATTTCTGGTTATATAGGTCTTGCTTTATCTTGGTCTTAACCATCCAGCAGAAAAGTACAAAAATGAAGTATAAAAAGTAAAGCCATGTGGATATGCTGAGCTCAAGTCAACAACTTCTGATATTGCCAGTCTTATGGAAAATCCACTACTATTATGGACTACTGGACTATATTGAAATATTTTGCTGAATTCATGCACCTACAATATCTAAATGACAATGGAATAACCTTCTCTGACAAAACTAAACAATAAAGGGGGATACAAATGAATGACCATTTTGTATCTGTATATTCAAAATAGGATAGATATACAGCTGCATTCTCATAGTTCAATAAATAGAGAGATTTGTTCTAAAAAAAAAATACACAGGTAAGCAAGCCCATGACTGTCTTGGGGTCCCCGTAGTCCACTGGGGAACTCGAGTAATTAGGCAAGACAAGAGAATACTCTGAATGCGAAGGATGGGTGAAGTCTGTGATACAGGCACGTGATATCCAGGGGAGACATACACCCAACTCTGTCCCCAGGAGGCTTTGTGACCAAGAAAACACTAAGAAAATTCCTCCAGAACATGCTCAGGGAGTCCCTGTGAAATCAGTTGTCCTTTGGAAGCAGTTCTCAGTGAACATGGATTTGGTGGTATTTCCTGCAGGGTACTATCTAGACCACATGTGGATTGTGTATTTCTAGGGGCTGGAGAGCTGGTCAAGCTGACACTCTCTTCATGAAAATAAGTTTGTTGTGTAAATAAAGTATTTCTATTGAATAGCCATTTTCAATCTCTCATGCTTCTGCTGGTGGATCTCCTGAAAGTACACCTGCCTTTCCTTCTGAGCTATCTCTTAGTTGATCATCAAATCCATCCAGTCCTAGATTCACTCACCCACTCTTGTAGGATGAGTGTGAAGCTGAACATCTCAGTGATTTAATTTCACTGTTGAGAATATGAGGTTGGAATCAAACATCCTGGATGCAAATCCTGACTTGAGTCCTTGGACGCTGTGTGACAGCCAGCAGGATCCCGAGTCTCCTTGAGTATAAAAGAGTGAACATAATACAGCATCTCTGAGAAGAAGTCTGTTTAGAGAGGATTTGGAAGAGCAGCGTACGTGACAGGCTTAGCACAGAGCCAGGATATCCTGGGTAATATATGATGCAGTAACAAATAGGGTCATTTTACTTTATATCTACAGAGAGTATCTTTTAGAAAGCAATAAAAATTACAAATGTACTCTGTTTATTCATCTTCAACCCAGAATGCAAATGGCAGCAGTAAGCGTGAGGCAGCAAGAAGAGGCTTCCTGCAACTATTGGGTTCTGTTTCTGCCTCCAGGCTAATTAGCTTAACAATTTGATGTTCAAGGGCAAACCCAGCTTTATCCTTGGGAGGGAGCCGGGCTCAGGGGAGGGGCAGTACAAAACACCGTGAGGCTGTGATTCCACAGCATGTGAAATGGACAGCAAGAAGATCTTCTTTCACTACGGTCATCCTCACTACCGTTGTGGTTGTGCTGAAAGCCAATGCTTCCCTTTGCAGGCGTTATCACGAGCCACGGGCTGTATCTGGATGGTGTGTTAATTCACAATTCCTCAGAGCTCCGCTGCTACACCCACGGGCTGGCTCCCGGGAGCCTGCACTCCTTCCGACTCCAGGCTTGCACGGTCAAGGGCTGCGCTCTGGGCCCCCCGGTGAGTACCTGGGTTTGCACCCTTGTGCATCTGTCGGGTCACACGGCACTGGGGGTCCAGAGAGAAGTGAGTGGCTGGGACTCACTCTTTCAAATGCCATGAGAAGTCTCTCTTTTTATAAAACTCCTGCTAAGAGAAACTGAGATTTTATGTTCAACATACAATCACAATGTCGCACAGGTCTACAGAGGAACAGAATACACATCTTATAGAAGGAAAGGTAAGCTGACTGGTTTAACAGATACATAGGAGATTTGGGTCTAATTTAGCAACATAAGCAACAGATACTGGATCTGCTCAGTAGTGGCTTAACAGTTAAGTAAATTTATGATTAAAAAGTGAAAATTGAAATCCTATAACTGGCACAACACTGTGGGAACACTGCTCCTCAACACGTGTGTTTATCAGTGAAAAGGCTGAGTTTACTTCATCTCAGAATAAAGCATTTTTATTTTATGAACATGCTATAGCTTCTTAAGAACAGTATTTAAAGTTCAGGGCAAAAAAAAAAAAAAATCAGGCCAATAAAACAATGGACTAGATAGAGAGAGAGATCTCTCGTAGGCACAACGATCAGCATGAGCCTGTATTTATACCTCAGCCAGACCACATTCAGACATCAGCTCTATTTTTTTATTTTTTTTACTCATATATTTATATGATACAGGGTCTTTCTACACAGTTCAGTTGTTTAGTGATACTCCTGTGTCAGCCTCCTCAGCACTGGGATTACAGGTATGCACCACCTCATCCAGTTTTGGGACCGATGTGGCATGCCTGGGATTCTGGGCACAGGGTAATGGGGGTTGAACTTGGGTCCTTGCACTTACCAGGCATGTGCTTAGACCACCAAGCTATCTCTCCAGCCCCAGACATGTGCTCTTATTTAAAAATATTTAGGGGCCAGGGAGATGGCTCAGTGGAATAAGTACTTCCCTGGCAAGTGCAAGGGCCTGATTTCAATCCCTGGTTCCGCAAAAGAAAATAAAGAAATACATAATAAAAATATATTGAAATACAGCCTAGAATGTGTTCTGTTACAAATAGAAAAAGGAGAAACCATTATTAAAAAAAAAAAAAAAGAATAGCATTGAAAATTATACCAACATCAACTTTTGGCTCCCAAATTCCAGAAATCTGTAATATTTCATGGCCAGCTAAAAAGTTGACGAGGTCATGCTTTTTATTTCTAATATAATTTTTAAAATCAATTAATAGTGTGTCCACTAGTAGACTAGCATGACACACTTCAGTGGCAACACAGTACACTATACTTTTGTTCATCTTTCTTAATTAATTAGATTTAGCTTCTCTTAGGGGAAATGCTCATTAGTTTTAGTTTTTGGCAATGTTTGCTAATTCTCTATCATTTTAATGTACTCTGTCTTCATTGAGTGTATTATAGAAATATTACCTTGAAAAACAGCCCCGTGGTTTAGTTTCCGCTTCCTTTTTTCAATCAGGCTTTTCATCTCATTTCAGAGATTGGTTGCTTTCCAAGCAGCTCACATCATCTATCGGTGGAACTGGGCTACACTCTTTATTGCCATTAAGCATTTTATAGCCAGACCTCGGACGATCTCACCCTTAAAAGCAGGGATGGCAGCAGGCCAGCTGCATGTCTCCATTCAAGAGAGCAAGGGAAAGGCGCGGAGTCCACTTGACGTGGGCTCGACACGTACACTTTCCCAAAATGTAAACATGCCGGCAACTTTGAACAAAGAGGACACAGTGACTGATCCGTGCAGATAGTAGGTGATGCTAGCCTTATGAAATCAAGTGCTGCAGTGCCCGTGAGAAGGGGGAAAACAGCCCTGGGCGGTTAGAACCTACTGTGCCCCACCCTCATCCTTAGACACCATCCTGATTTAAGGCACTGGGTGATTTCTCTCCTTGCCACTTTTCTTTATCCTGTACTCAGGATGCAAATGCTTCTCCCTATCAATGATCCATCTTTACCTACCAGGAGGGAACAACAATATCCCCATTTAAAAGGAGTCAACTATGTACTGCCAACAAGTTGAAACCCACGGTCTTCAGTTGGCTCCTGAACTATTTTGTGCCAATTGCAGTATGTTCTATATGTCCTTAAGAAATGATATATCAGAGTACTTTAAACAGTCCTGGATAGCTGCACAATCAGAAAGGATATTTGGCTCCAATTTTGATGATCCTTTTTAATGTGCCCTTAATGATTTAAGAAATCTGTGCATCCATCCTAAGAGTCAGATTTCCTTACCATTAAATCAGAACACGATACACAAAAAGACTCAGCCAATCTAGCCGTGGGATATGCACAGCCCTTAAAGATGGGCTTTATTTGAAGTCCAGTGCCTCACCATTTTAAATGAGAGATTTCACTTCCCTTCGCATTTTATCGTTTCTGTTCTTAAGTTCTTTTCTAGCAAAAATAAAACTATAGATTTTGGAGACCTTATTTTTGTTCACCAAACAACATTCTTGAATGATTTTTTTTCTCTTTAGAAAGAGAATCCTGATTGTTATAATTTTTTTTTACATACTTAGTGCCATTGCTTTCCATGCATGGAGGAGAATAGTTTTTGCTTTTCTTAATGATAAATCTGCTCCAGATTGGTGGTACAGTTCACCCTTAAAGTTAGCAAGGTGCTCATATAATAGAAAAAGCAGGGAAAAGGGAAAAGAGCTTTTAAAACAATATTTTAAACATTAAAGTGGACATACAAAACCTCCATTCATACCATGTTAGTGCTGTTAGTACATTAGATTTTCTTTTCCCGGGATGCCCAGAGCGGGCCACCCGTGGTGCACAGGGAGAGTTGCCCTGCACCATCCAATGTCCCTGGAGTCTCCGTGGTCCTCATCCACTGAAGCAACACATTCAACTCTGGAAGAAGCTCAGTTGGGTGCCTTCAGGTCCTAAAGAGGCTAATAAGCGTCATCAAATTAAATGCCTTAGTGAGGATTTTATACATGTTTGAAACAATGAAAAAACGAGTGTAGCACGTCTTGAAAGGCTTTCCCTGTTTTCAGTTACATCAGGGAGAAACTTCTCATGCTTTGTGTTTCCGTAATGACACTCAGTGAGTTTCTCTGTAGGCCACTCTGACTCAGCCAGCATTGGACAGCTAGTGGCGTCTGAGGCCGAGGCTTTGCAGCTGTGTCTGACCTGGGCGCACGCATGGGATCCACTCTCCAGGGCTCCTCTGAGGAGTGCGGTGCAAAGCTGCAGGTCACCGCTGTGTGCGCTGGTGTATTCTTGGGGATTATACGCATGCACATAGATGCGCCTCACACCCACGGGCACACACATGTGCTTTATGTTTTCACGGTCTTGCAAAGAAGCAAATCAATCTGTTATCTAAGGCAGCTACATCTTAATGGCAGTTGATGCTATGGTCAAGAAAATTCCTCATGAAGAGCTGCCCTAGCTCTGTTTCCCCCCTGGACCTCCTGGAGAAACAATCTTGTTTTTCTAAGCCTCATGTCTCCCCACTGTTACGAAGGGCCACCCGGAAAGGGATGGAAGTAAAAAGTTAAATGAAATATTATTTACACTTGAGGTTGTGGTACATTATAAGAGACTTAGTAAGGATGAAAATTTTAATATTTATATGTGTGTTCACTAACGTGCTGCATCAGAGGAGGTTTGCAGGTCAAAGACAGGCAGGATTCACCTTCCCAAGAGTCTTCTCCTTAAGACTATCTTTAAGGCAAAACAGAGAAATAAAAAGGTAAAAAAAAACTTGGTCAGAACAGAGTGGCACAATGGCTAAGTTTAATGTATATTAAAAGCTGGAGTATTTACGCAAATACTTAAGGAAATTTAAAAAAATATTTATTTTGAATTAGTCAGGTATTTGAGGATAATAATATAATTACCTAGAATTGCCCTTAATCAACTTTTTGAGTCTCTTATTTGGAGCCTTTTAAAATAGTTTTCTATACAATACTTTGAACTACGCACATAGAAATAATGAAACTAGCTGCATTGTTATGAAATATTAAAATGACAAATGGCAATTTTTCAAACCTAGTTTCTTTTATCACTTTTTGTACATAGCTATTAAACTAAAAAAAAAAAAAAAGAATAGGAATTAAAGCTCTCAAGAACCCTGTAGCCTTTCTCTGATTAAAATAAAACATCTTGTGACCTCGGACTTATTAAAAATTAACACTCTGTCTTTTTCACATTTATTTTCATAATTGGGAAAGCATATTCACCTTAACAAATAAAGCCTTCATAATTGAGAATATTTGCCTGCCTAAGGGTTTCGTGCCTGATCACCTCCTTCTGAGGCCTGAGCCTTCCTGTACTTTAATCATAAGGTCAGAATTATCAAAATCTTCCATAGATTGTAAAATGTCAGATATTTATAAGTGATGCTTCAGACTTTATAGTGATTAGCTACCAGGCTTAAGCCAGCGACAAAAAAAAAAAAAAAAAAAAAAAAAAAAAAAAACTGACAAAAGAATTGAAAAATCAACCTGGCAACTGTTCCCTGGCAAGCACAAGGGCCCAAGTTCAATCCCCAGTTCCACCGACAAAAAAAAAAAAAAAAAAAAAAGATAATAAACAATCTAACCTGCTTCTCTAACCTCTTGCCAGCTCAATCTGGTCTCTCGGTCATTTCTCTTATTTAGCTATTGAAATCACCCGAGCCCCGGATTATTTTGTATTTTGCAGCAGTTCATCTTTCACAGATTTTTGTGCAGGCTGATTAGCCCCACATTGGCTTCTGCGGTGGTGGAGCCTGTGGCTCCAGCCGCTCAGGCGCGTTCATTTCTTCCCCTTGGCGCAGCACCGTCTCTACACCTGAGAGCAATACAGTTCAGAAAAAAGTGTGAATCACGATGCTTGATTGGGCTTTTTGATAAGTGCCCCAAAGCTCTCCCTTCCATGAGGCTCTTAGGAAAACAGACTGCGTCTATTTTTTCTCTTTTGCAATCACATAGAAATTATTTTAAAGTGACCCTAAAAATAGTCTGTGGTCATGCACCACAATAGGTGCAATCCCAGGGCGAGCTGATCCACATTTTCTGGAAATCGCAAGCAGCTGGCTCCGTCAGGAGCTCCAATTCCGAGCCTTAACAGCAGGAGGAAGAAAACACAAGGTGTGCTTTGATCCTGCTGACAAAATGAGGTATTCAGACAAGACGCCGCTGTCAGAATAGTTTACTTCACAGCGAAAGCAGATTCTTTGAAGAAATGTGCTCAAAGCGAAGCATGTACTTATTTTATTTGCAAACAAAAATAAATCTTTTTATACTCACAGGTGGAAAATCGAACGCTGGAAACCCCTCCTCGAGGAACGGTAAATGTGTTTGTCAGAGCAGAGGGCGTCCGGGAAGCCCGCGTGAGGTGGAGCGCACCGCTGCACCCCAACGGACGGTTGACATACTTCGTCCTTGTTACTGGGATTTTCTATGCAGACCCAGGTAATCTGTGTGCAACTTTAAAACGTTAACATTAGAAAATAATTTATTTTCAGGTGAAGTCTTAGCCGCAGATTTTAATTCTTGTATTTTCTCTCCACTTTCCCTGCCCTGCTAAGTGAGGAAGCACGTTTCTCAGCGTGTGGTCCCCAAGCAGCAGTGAGGGGAGGCCCTGTGCGCGCTGCCCCTCGGTCGGGATCGCTAGAGGGCACGCAGCAGCCTGGTGGAACGAGCCCGTCCGGTGGTTCTGGTGGACTGCAGGTCGAGGCAGGGCGAGTAGGGCGCTGCAGTCCTTCACCCACAGATCGGCTTTCTGCCTTTTTCATCGCCACAGGTTCCACTGAATTACTAAGTGGGAGACTGCCGAGTGAGAGCAGCCACATCCACAGAACTTCCACTGCAGCATATTGTTATGATTGTGCTATTTGATTACTGCTTATAGCTGCCAGCCTCTCCCTGGGCCTAATTCATAAATTGAGCTTTCTCATAGGTCTGTAAGTGGAGGGAAAACCAGTTTCAGACATTCGTGGGAGTCTTTGGATGTTTCCCCCGCTGGTGATGGGAGGTTGCTCTGTAGTTTAATACCAAGCTGGAAAGATGATTCAATACTGAGTACTATTCCTGCAAAGTGTTGAGTTTTAGCTTTGTAGTCCATCTTTGTGTGTGTGTGTGTGTGTGTGTGTGTGTGCGTGTGTGTGTGTATTTTCTAGAGGAGCGTCTATGGGTGTTCAGGGTCTCACTACTAGATTGGACTCTCTATAGTGATTCTCCTGTTTATAGCTTCCAAAATGATGAGAGTACAGGCGCGGGCCACCACGCCCAGTCTCAACAGCTGTCTCAGTTGGCCCCAGGAGTGGGGCGGCACAGCAGGCCTGGGGATCCAACCCCCAACCCCTGCGCCTGCTTGCAGGAGCTTTAATCCGCTGAGCTATTTGGTCGGTCCTGCAGCCCATCTTAAATGACTAATTGTGAAGGTCATTTTAATGTTTTTAAATTTAATTAGTAATTCTGGTGTGTGTACTAATAAATTTACCTAACGTGGGTCACACATGTTTAGTCATGATTTTCTTAAAAGAATTGTCAAAAACATCCAATTACGCAAATTGGGCACTGGGATAATATGGTGCTTTATTTAAATAATTCTTTACCACAGTAAGATGATGCAAGCCTATGGATTGTAGACGCCTTCCATTTCTTTGAAGTGTTTTCTTTTATGACTTTCCCAAAGTGGTCATACTATTTATAGAGGTGGTGTTTTCAATATTTCTTCATTCTAGTTTATTAGGGCATATGTGCAGTACATAATGTGTACCGTCCTAGTGTCAAGTTGGTGCCTGTCCCTAACACATCTCAATTGCTTTTTTATCCTCATTCCATTCCCTTCCTCCCTGCACCAATCTCTTGATTTTCTTCTACTTTTTTGTATGTTTGCCATCTATAATGTTCACATTCTTCTGTTTTGTTTTGTTTTGTTTTGTTTTGTTTTGCTTTTGTTTTTTGTATTTTAACAATGGGCCTACAGGGTATTCAGGTTCTCACTACTAGATTGGACTCTTAGTGATCCACCTGTTTACAGCTGCCAAGAGCTGCGATTACAGGTATGCACCACCACGCCCAGTCTCAATCACAGTCTGAGCACACCCCTGGGGTCGGGCTGGCATGGTAGCCCCAGGGGTTGAACCCCAGGCCCCTGCTCCTGCTTGCAGGTGCTTTAATCTGCTGAGCTATTTGGCTGGCCCCCAAGGTGTTGTGTGCAATTGCCTTGTTAGTTTTTGGTCTTCTTTGATTTTACTGTATTTTTTTGGTTGAATTGTTTTTTAGGGGAGGTTTATTTTTTGTTTTTGGTGCCGAGAACCAAACCCATGGCTTCCAGCTTGCTAGGCAAGCATTCTACCGCTGAGCCAAATCCCCAGCCCCCTCTCTGTGTTAAATTAATCTGTGCATATCTAGTAGCAAACAGTGTCATGGACATAACCCCCAATGCTGCTGACAATGAGATGGTGTTCCTCAGACTGGAAATGTCGCTTTCTACATTATGTGTAACCATCCTCAAAGTGTAAAAGGGGGACACAGAGCTTCAGAAACTTGAGAGGAGCATGCATCCTTGCACACTGTGTCAGCAGGCAAACAAGCTCAGAGTGTGCACTTTGGAGTCAAACTGCTCCTCTCCAAGATTGGTATGTCCCTTTTTTATGCAATCAGGGCTTTGATGTATTCCGCTGTGAAGCACTTGTAAGATTATGAGGTGAAGGAGTGATGATCGATTTGAAAAAAGCAGCAACATTTAGGCCGGACCCGTGACAGCCCGGCTATTTCCGCCAAGGCGGCTGGGTGAATAATGCAAGAGCCATATTCCCCCTTGTGTTTAATCTTGCATTGTTTCTGCAGAGAAAATTTCTGCTTGCCTTCTAAGTCATGTCATCTTTGGTTGTCATCCCGTCTCTCAAACCATCAAGATGGTATTAAATGTTGCAAAGCTGTGCAGCCAGAGAACTTTCAGAAGTCAGAACCCATTTGCAGAGGAGCCCTTGTAGAAAATGTATTCTGTTCTCGGCAGAATTTTCCTTCAGTTCTTTCCACTGAGAAGTTTACTGATTTCTCCCAGTGGAATCTGCTGGAATTTATCGGTTCATGGTTGGCAGTCACAGATTAAGGTAAATGTCGATCCGTAATGACCCTCTACATGTTAGTACTGCAGTAAAGCTGGGCTTTTATGTCAAAGGTATCGGAGAGGGAGCTATTACACATGACAGGGGTGATCAAGGGACTCCAGACCAAGGCAAGCATTATTAAATATTGACTAGTTCTGTGATTTATGTAGAGCTGGAGGAAAAAAGTGACTTTTTAACCATTATATATTCTTCAGCAACGAAAACCAGCCATTTATCTCCTGCTGGTAATAGAGAACAGAGTGTCTGCATATTTTAATGGAGGGAAAACCTGGTCTTATAAATGAGATGAACTCCTTCATGATAACATTTCAGTTTGCTAATTGCCAAAAGCAAAACAGACAAATTGGAAGCAATTATAAGATTTGACTTAAAGAGTTTTGCCGTCTGCGTTCAACTCTGGGGTTGGAAGGGGATGAAGTGGGAAGCAGAAGGAACATCTCAGAATGGGCCCCAGGAAGTTCACCTCCTCTGGCGAGGGTCACTGAAGCCCCAGGTCCATGTTTAAGTGAAAGGGTTTCGAATATCGTCTTGTCCTGTCACCCTTCAGCAGCTGGGTGACATTTACACTGAGGGTGAGGAGGTCTGTGTGGCTCTGCAAGAAATGAATTAAACATTAATTCATCAAACTTATTTAAGATATCATCTGTTCACTAGGTTCGTACAAAGCTTATTGAATTGTCGAATGGCTAATTGGTTATTTCCTTGACATAATGAACAACCGCTTCATCCCTTCCTGTGATGGCTGGGAAGAGGTGGTGGGTGGAATTCATGAGAAAGAGAAACTCATTGGAGAGGAAGCACGCTTAGCTCAAAACAAGTGTGCCTGCAGCCAGGTCACAGTTCTGTAGGGCAGGACACGGGGCTGCCTGGAAAACTCCCACACAAGAAGTCCTGCGGCACAACACACTACAGGATCAACTTCCGATTTCATAACAAGTGAGCAGCTCAGATCACAGTATGATTTTTCTTCAAAATTACTTATTTTTCCCAAGTACTATATATTCCCATGAATCACAATTCAGATAGTGCAAAATAAGCAGTTAAAAGTGCCTAACCAAGAGGAAACTTGAGTGCTTAGTTTTTATAGAAAGCATTGATAGATAGATAGATAGATAGATAGATAGATAGTGTAATTAAACTCTGATAGTCCTTTTAGCTCACATTCATGTTTTACACAAATTAAACCAAGCTGTCCAGATGATTTTGCACCATGTCTTTTAACTCAGTAATTTCAGTCCTAGAGAACTTCCTTGTTCTTTGTACAACTTCAGACTATTCAGCCACATAACTTACAGCATTGCTAGCTTAATTAATGAACATTCAAGTTTGCTCTGTCTAAGCATGTCATAATAAATAACACAGTTATGCCATTTCATACCTCTGACAAGCATATATATTAGTGTGGTAAATTCCCTACAGTGTGCTTCTAGGCCAAATAAAATGTGGATTTGTAACTTTGTAAAACACCAAACTTCATCGTAGGCCAAGCAATTGGGCTTCATGGAAAGGACTAAGAAGGTCTGGGTCTGGTAGGAGGAGCTCTACAGCCTCCTCAGGTGTGTTGTCAGGCTCGGCTTTGCCGAGTTGATGTGCCAAAACCAAGATCCCACAGGCTCTCGAGTGTGTGTGTCTCTTCATAGGAGTTAGTTTGAACACATTGGCATCTGCTTAAAGTCTACTTGCAGTTTTTTTTTTCTGTGAATTCTTTATTTGCCTGTATTTTTGCTGTGCTTTAGGAGCTCTTTTTTTTTTCTTTTTCTTTTTCTTTTTATTTATTTATTTATTTTTTTTGTGGAACCAAGGATTGAACTCAGGCCCTTGTACTTGCTAGGGAAGTGCTTATTCCACTGAGCCATCTCCCCAGCCCAAGGAGCTCTTTATAGATGAGAAAAATCTGAAATATTAATAGTAAATTTTAGCTTTGTTATTGTTTTTAAAGCTCTTGAATCCATCTCTACAAAACACTTTATTCAATCCATTCAAAATTTATATTTAGGTATTATATAACATATGGATCAGTTTTATTTTTTTTTCCAGAATATAACTTTTTGTTTCAAAAGCATGTGTTAAATAATCCATATTGTTTTCCACTGACTTAAAAAGATGCTAAATTTCTACCTTGAACTACTTACTGTATAACTCTCCACCTTTACCTACCCAACATAGCATTTTAATTAGCAGATGTGTATATTTTAATGCCTTTTAGGTCTTATCTCATTTATTTTATCTAACTTTTCTTTACTGATTCTCCCTTCTCTTCTTTGAAATAATGTTTATAGATTCCCTCCGAAATCCTGATTATATTTTTGTAAGCATGGAAACAATTTTATA